GTCAGTATGATCATAGTATATGTTCAAACTACCAAGGGGCCCATGCAAGGGTCATAAAGGCACAGGATGAACATCCCCCTCCATACTGCTGTGAGCCTTCAGTCGTGGGTATCTCATTATGCATCTGCTTTTATGCAGATTTCCAGCTCAGACGTGTTTTGATTTCCTGTGGTTTAGAGATATTATGAACCATGGATACTTTTAGATCTTTGGAGATTGGTATGTATTATAAAGATTATCACAATCATAGCAAAGTGTCTTGTAGTTCATCAGGAATTTTACAAGAATACTTCTAATTGGCTGATGTGCTTAAATATTTGAACTTATTTACATAGACAAATTAATTTAAGAGTTTTTCTTTTACTCAGTATTTTCCTTATCCTTTAACCTTAGCAAAGATATTCTTGGAAAACAATTTGACAACAATTTTGGAACACAACTAACAGTGCTAAAACCAGGTAAAAATTTATTTAACGGTTAGATGAATGACCAACTAAAATAGACTTCTAGAAAACTAGGTATCGGATGTCATTACTAGTCATATTACTCTGACAGCTCACGATGGACAAAGAGGTACAATCCTATTAAGTGCCTAGAATGGGGGAGAACTTGCAAACTGCATTGACTACAATACATTATTTCATAAAATAGTAAGATAAAACTATTACTTGGAAAACTATGCACTTTCTCTTGAAAATTTCTGCCTACTTTCCTCCTGCAAGTTAGGAAATATATTAAATTTGAGTGATAACTTGCATTCTGTCTCATGATTCATAGTAGGTTAAGCAGTTAGACTTACTCTATTTTTGTTCAACTTCTCAGTTTTAAGTTTTAGTATCACCATAAAGAAAAGTAATTAATTAGTACTTGTAGACTAATCCATATGTCACCAAAATATGATAGAATGCAAATGAAACCTCTCTCCATATGCTTTTCTCATTTCTCATTCCCTTATTCAGGTTCTTCATAGACATGTTCTTTACACAGGCAGATTATCTCCTCTTCTAATTTATTATGCCAATACAATCTATTTTTGTTGTAAGTTTTAGTTGTTATTTTAATCTCTCTATATATCACTTGATATATATATATAAATATAATTTGATGAATCAAATGGTGCTATAAGGCCTGTTATGAAAAACAATTCCCACAACCCCACCTTCTACTTCCTGCTCCCCAGGGCAACCACTTTCAATTCTTTTACCCATGTTTTGTTTTGTTTTCCACCTCTATATCTCTAACATATTGCTACTTCTTGATTACTCTGGAGTATTGTCCACTTATCTCCCAATAGAGAAGACGAAGATTTAGCTCTACTCACCACCACCACCTGCTTCTTCTACTCCCCATGTAAACACACAGTCCCCATCTTCTCAGTAGTTATAGCATGATTTTCATTAGATTAATAGTCAATAGATTTACATTATAATGTCTATGTAAATTCTAATCACAGCTCAGTTACAAGGTTTATCATAACCTTTCTTTTCCTATACATATTTTATTTTTCTTTGGGTTTACCAATTATCCTGTTTTTCTTAAAATTAGTTTAGCTTTTATAAACTTATCACTAATTCTGACCCAAACTTGTGTGTAGTTGTATAAATTTCTCAATTTAGTAAAATACATTAGTTGTTCTTCCAGTTTCACCTTTGAAGTCTATAGTTATTCTAATTCCTGAATCTTTGTTGGAAATCTTTCTTTTCCCTCAACTCTACAAATCTGTAAAATTCTTTCCTTCCTAGAGTTCTCAACTTTTTCAGTGCTCTATCTAAGCATAGGTTTGTTTTTTATTTATGTGGGGCATCCTATGTACTTTTTCAATCCAAGATTTTTATTAGTGGAAACATTTCTTAAATGGCATGGTTATTTGATTATTTCCTTTCCTTTATTTTCTCTATTTTCTGTGGAACTCCTATTTTTTAAATTTGGAACTTCCTGGGTCAGTTCCCTAATTTCCTTATATTTTTCTCTCTTATCTTCTATTGTAGTTTTATATTCTATTTTCTGGGGAGATTTCCTTAACTTTATCTTCCACATCTTCTATTGAAGTTTACATTTTAGATATCATATTTTCTAATCGCTCTTTTGTTCTATGAATGAATTATACATTTTCCCTTAAGTTTTCTTGTCCTGCATAGCCATGTTTCCTCCCAGTTGCTTTTTTTAATGTTTTCACTATCAGATGCTCTCTTTAAGTGCCTGGTGATTCTTGGCTCATATAAAATAGTGTGAACTAAAAAGCTAAGAGGAAGTTCTGTGTTTGGATGGAGTTTGTTAATGGTTGAGTCCGCTGTAAAATGAATTGGCTGTTTCTTCGGAGAACCCCTAAGGTGAATATATTTATGGTTTATGGGTATGTGTGCCTTTTGCCCAGAGAAAACTCTTCCAATCTCCTGCCCGGAGACTTATACATACTAGTACTCTCAGAAGCAAGTGGGAGAGGCTTGGGGTTCTCAAATTTAGCATTTAAATATATTCTTCACTCCTTTCCAGTAGGGTAGTCCTACACTGGAATGTGCCTGATCTCTCTCTCAGTCCACAGACACTTTGTCTTATACTTCTCAGAGAATTAAATTTCCAGTCTTCTGCTAACTAGGGAAAGGAATCTAATTCTTCTTGAGGAAACTTCTGACTAATTCTGTGTCTTCAGTTCCACTTTCATACTCATTTCCAGTTCCTGAGCTTCTGGAGAGTTTTACAGTCTAAATCAAGTTGCTGCTTTGGTTTTTACCAACTGCCGACTTAAGGTTCAACTTTCTTAGGCTGTTTAGTTACCACTTGTCACCTGTTTTCTAAGTAACAAAATTTGTTTCTATTGTTGTCTCTCTTGTTTTCTTATTTTTTGAGGGTCTATCTCTAATGACTCTTATTTTCCTTGCACCAGAGTTTTAGAAGGAATAGAGCTAAATGCTTGTACTAAAGGTGCCATCTTTAAACTATAGTTCTATTTGGCTCTTTTATATACCACAGAATCTCAATTTGTACACATTGAAAGGGATCCCAAGAGAACATGTAGTAAACTCTTCCCTTCAGAAAGCAAAGTATGTTAATTTGCAGATGAAGTGGCTGAAACCAGGAAGCTGAGTATCTTGCCCAAGGACATACAAAGTCATATAGGCAGATAATGTGATATTTTACGCACCTTAAATAATTATCCCTCTAAAGTTTTAGTTTGTTTCTAATTTGGGACCATTGCAGCCACAGCTAGATCCTTTTCTGTATTACTTTTCAATTTGCATCCTATTCTAGTGAGCAGATAAGTTCTTCATATCAGAACATTAGGTGTCGAACCACAGTCATGTATCCAATAATGATGTTTTGGTCAACGGTGACTGCACATATGACAGTGGTCCCATATGATTATAATGGAGCTAAAAAATTTCTATTGCCTAGTGAAATTGTAGCTGTCATAACATCATGGAATAACACATACAATTACGTACAGTAAATAACACTTAATAAACGACTATGTTACTGATTTGTGTATTTACTATACTGTACTTTTTATTGCTATTTTAGAGTGTACTCCTTCTACTTATAAAAAAGAGTTAACTAGAAAGCCTCGGGCAGGTCCTTCAGGAGGCATTACAGAAGAAGGCATTGTTACAATAGGAGATGTCAGCTCCGTGTGTGTTATTGCCCCGAAGACCCTCCACTGGGTCAAGATGTGGAGGTGGAAGACAAAGATATTGGTGATCCTGATCCTGTGTAGGCCTAGCCTAATGTATGTATTTGTGTCTTAGTTTTTAACAAAAAAGTTTAAAAAGTAAAACAATAAAAATAAAAAATTTTAAAAACGGAAAAAGGCTTATTGAATAAGGATATAAAATATATAGTATGTGTTTTAAACTAAGTGTTTGTATAAAATAGTCAAAAAGTTAAAAAAAATTTAAGCTTGTAAAGTAAAAACACTATATTAAGCTAAGGTTAATTTATTACTAAACAAGGAAAACTAATTTTTTGATAAATTTAGTATAGCCTAAATGTACCATGTTTATGAAGTCTACCTACAGTATTGTACAGTAATGTTCAAGACCTTCACATTTACTCACTACTCACTCACTCATGCAGAGCAATTTCCAGTCCCACAAGCTCCATTTATGGTAAGTGCCCTATACAGCCACATCATTTTTTATCTTTTATACTGCATTTTTACTGTACCTTTTCTATGTTTAAATATGTTTTGATACACAAATACTTACCACTGTGTTACAGTTACTACAGTATTCAGTAGAGTAACATGCTGTACAGGTTTGCAGCCTAGGAGTTAGAGGCTATACCACATAGCCTAAGCATATAGGCTATGCCATCTAGGTTCATCTAAGTGCACTCTATGATGTTTGCACTATGATGAAATAACCTAATTGATACTTTTCCGAGAACTTACAACTGTCATTAAGCAATACTTGACTGTTATAAAATGTGGTTAAATGGGAAGTTGGCTTACAATAATTTCAGACACCACCAGATTTTTAAAGCAGTTTTTATGCCTTAGCTATGTCCTTTTGAGAAACTTATACCAAGGATCTTACAGAGTAACTATCAAAATGCTGTAATTTAAATGTAGCTTGTATAGCTTTTTAAAACAAATGGTAAAACAGTTATTTTTAATTTTCAAGAAATTCTTAAAATGGAAAAAAACCAGTTTGGTTTGTTTCAAGTGTCACAATCTCTCATTTGTTATAATGTTATTTGTTAAATAAGAAAATACAGGCTTTGAAAGAAGGCATTTGTAGAGGAAAAAAGGACTGAGACTTGAGTAACATTCAACTTATTTTAAATTGATGCTACCTTTTCCCCCCAGTGTAATACATAGACCATAGTCTTAAAATGTTACTAAATTATAATAATAAAATTAAGATTCTTTTGATAAAATAATTCATTTTAATCCAGAAAAGTTTTAAGATCTTTATACAGCTGGGCACTAAAGGAGCTTTCATAAATACTAGCACTCTAGAAGAAAATGAAAAATAAAAAGAAAATTGTTCTTAAATACTTACAGATTCTTTTCTGCCCATAGTTTTGCTGTGTGAGCGAGAACGAGAGATGTTGCTAAAAAAGGAATCTTTTTTAGTAGCAGATGTAGGTGGGGAGCCAGTGAATTCTCTTCCTCCAGGCAAACTCTCAATGCTTGGAGATGAACTGATGTTTTTAGAACTTTGCCCTGTAAAAAAAATTAAGTAGCAATAATGAAATATCAGACTCTTTCATTAAGCTATTGAATCTACTGCTTTAAATAAATGATGATCGATTATGAGACTACTTTGTTGACACTGTCAACATGATGACACTATGATGTATTAAAATGCATGCCTTTTTATATATCAGAATAGCTGTGAACTTTGTAAAAACAATGAAGTATCATTATAATTTTGAAGTATCATCATCATTTTCCATATGTAATTTATATTGCAATAGTCTAAGCATTGCACACACATATTAAAAAAATTAAAAATCCAATTTTCAGAAATCAATGCTTAAATGATTGGATTTTTCCCTCACTGATGGAATCATCCTTTAATTATCAAAACCTGTTATACTGCATATTATATTAGTAAGATTAAAAAATCTATATCCTTTGCCAAACTTTTTCAGAAGAACCTCTTTCTTTTTCTCTCAGGTCAGGGAATGTGTCACTGAGAATTGAAGTGTGTTAACATTTGAGCAAAAATTTGAAGGTGAAAAACCACGTTTGAAGAAAATATGACAGAATACCAAGTGCAATGGCCCTAAGGCAGAGCCTTCATGTGTTCAAGGAATAACAAGGTGGACAGTATGGCTAAAGCTAAGAGTGAGGGGGGCAAAGGTTACGAGATGAGGTTTGGGAGCAAGTAGGAGATCAGAACAAGTCGAGATTTGTAGATGATTTTGATTACTTTTACTCTGAGAAGGGAAGCCATGGGCCACCACTAGAGGGTTTGAGGAGGGGAGTGACATGATTTGACTTACATTTTGAAAGGATCGCTCTGGCTGCTATGTCGAGAATAGAACTGGAGAGATGAAGAAGGAAGAAGAGGTTGGAGGGTAGGAGGTGGAACAAAGATAAAAGCATGGAAACCAATTTTTGCTGCTGTAAAAATCTAAGTATCCAGAATGATCAGATTCATTCTGATGTGAGAAGTCAGATTCTAGACAAAAATTGACTTGATTTACTGATAAACCCCTAAGAGATACAGAGAAGAGAGGAATCAAATTTAACCCCAAATTTTTGGCCCAAGCAAGAATGATGGACCTGCTACTTAATAAAGTGGGGAAGAGTGAGGGGGAGCAGGTTTTAGGAATAAGATCAACAGTTTACTTTCAGACTTGTTGAATTTGAGTTGCTTAATCAGATATCCAAACAGAGATGTCATGTAGGCAGTGGGGAATGAGTCTGGATTTCAGGGAAAAGATCTGAGCTATAGATATAAATTTGGAAGTCAGTAGCAGATAGTCTGTATTTAAAGCCATGAGATCACCAATAGAGAAGGGATAGATTGAAAAGGGGTTAAGTCCAAAGACTGGCCCCTTGGAAATTTTAAAGTTTAAAGGTTAGGGGCATCACAAGAAAGCAGCAAAGTTGATTGAAAAGAAGCAGCCAGAGGTAAGAAGACAATCCAGCAGACAATAATAGATACTTCAGAGTAATCTTCTCCAATCTTGGGTCACCAGGTACAAAAAAGTTATTACAATATAGGTGGACTAGTAATTATCTACTCCCAGTCCCTAGGAGCCCTCGACTATTCCTGCTTTCAAGACAATTTTATTACACTGAAGCCTTCTCGTATTCAGCATTAGGGATTCAGATTGAGGTTTCTGTCCTCCAAGAGTTCAGAACCTGGGATAAAGGGGGAGAAATAATAAACCAAGAGTGGTAGTAAGAATATTATTTCTCTCAAGAGAGAGTTATTATTATACCTTCCCTCTGGGTGGGAGGAGAGTCCAGGCACATTTCACAAGGAGTTGTGGCAGACCTGGAGGTACTGACAGATCCCCGTTAAGGAAAAGCTTGTTGCCTCAAGGAATATGGTTAGCTGACAGTCTAGCTGTTAGATTGTTCAGGATCTACCTGAGGTTTTGAACTAAGTTCATGTTCTTCTCAGATGGGTTCCCAGCTAGTGACTGATAGTAAAGGGACTACCCATTTCTACCCATGACAGGACTCCTCAAGTAGGAAATCTTGGCTGCAGAGTCCCCTGTTGAGCTGGAAGAGATCTGTTAGATCTTCATGGTCTGCTGCCATCCTTCTGCTCAATCCTATTTCCTCCTCATTTCCTTTAACACAACGTTATTCCCCAATAATGGTTTTTTTTTTCCCACTTTTAATTACATTTCAGGGTCTGTTTCCTGAAGAAAACAGCCTGTAATGTGTGATTCTAGAGCTGAGCCATGAAGGATAGAAGGGCCCCAGAGGTTAGCAAAGGGTACGGAAGAACAGCTCCCAAGGCCTAGAAGCATCTTATGCTAAATTCAGGGCCTAGACTATGAAAATTCTACCCAGGCCTTTACTTCTCTTCTCTGCCTCCATGTCTCCTACCCAGCTCCAGGGCTCTAGGCCCTAACTTCCCTGGGTTACCTTTTCATTGCAATGATCTCAATAGCACAGGGTCCTAGAATATTAGAGCTGAAAATTATCTCAGGAACTATCTATTAGTTTATTTTCTCTTTTAAAAATTATACCACTAACATGTAAATATACTTTCATCATAAACAGATTAACTGTGAATGCTGCCTTTTGAAAAGTAACACTTTGAGATACAATTCATATACCATAACATTCACTCTTCTAAAGTATATAATTCAGTGGTTTTTAGTATATTTACTGAGCTGTATGACCATCACCATTCTTATTTTAGAACAATTTCACTACCCCAAAATAAAATCCTGTGCCCATTAGCAGTTACTCCCACTACCTCCCCCACTTCCCGATAGTCCTTGGCAACCACAGTCTACTTACTTTCTGTCTCTATGGATTTGCCTTTTTTGGGCTTGTAATAAAAATGGAATGATTTAATATCCAGTCTTTTGTGACTGGCTTTTGTCTCATGGCACAATGTTTTCAAGGTTCATATGTGTTGTAGCCTGTATCAGTAGCACTACATGCCTTTTTATTGCCAAATAATATTCCATTGTATGGATATACCACATTTGGTTTATCTATTCAGTTGATGGACATTTAGCATATATCAATTTCTTGGCTATTATAAATAATGTTGCTATGAACATTCAAGTAGAAATTTTTGTGTGGACACATTTCCATTTCTGTCAGGCAGATACCTAGAAGTGGAATTGCTAGGTCAATATAGCAACTCTGTACCATATTAAGAAACTGCCAAACTTTCAAAAGTGGCAATATAATTTTTAATTTCCATCAGCATTATGTAATCCCCACATCCTTGACAATACTATCAGCTTTTTATTTTAGCCACCCTAATGGGTATGAGATTGTGATTTTGATTTATAATTTACTGATTACTCATAATGTTGAACACCTACTCTCCCATCATCCCCGTCTTGGTTTTCTCATAACCTTTATATTGCTTTGTGCCCATATGTACTCACCTATCAGCTCCCAATTATTTGTGAGAACATACAGTGTTTGGTTTTCCCATTCCTGAAACACTCCACTTAAGATAATGTTTTCCAGTTCTTTCCACATTGCTCCAAATGACGTTATTTCATTCATTTCTATGGCTGAGTAGTACTCCATGGAATGAATGAATATATATATATATATATAAAATCATATTTTCTTTATCCACTCATGAACTGATGGACACTTAGGTTGATTCCACATCTTTGCAACTGTGAATTGTGCTGTGATAAACATTCAAGTGCAAGTGTCTTTTGATAAAATGGCTTCATTTCCTTTGGGTAGATACATAGCAGTGGGATTGATAGATTGAATGGGAGGCCTACATTTATTTCTTTGAGGAATATTTATACCATATTCCATGGAGATGGTAGTAATTTGCAGTCCCACCAACAGTGTATAAGTGTTCCTTTCTCTCTGCATCCATGCCAGCATCTACTGTTTTTTGACTTTTTAATAATGGCCATTCTGATAGGGGTAAGGTGGTATCTCACTGTAGTTTTAATTTGCATTTCCCTGATGATTAGTGATGTTGAGCACTTTTTCATATGTTTCTTGGCCATTTGTCTATCTTCTTTTCAAACACTGTTAGTATCTTTTACCTACTTTTTGATGGAGTTTTTTTTTTTTTTTCTGATTTGTTTGAATTTTTTGTAGATTCTGCTTATCAGTCCTTTATCAGATATATAGCTTGCGAATGTTTTCTCCCATTCTGTGGGTTGTTGTCTATTTATTCTACTGGTTATTTCCTTTGCAGTGCAGAAGGTTTTTACTTTAATTAAGTCCCATTTATTTTTGTTGTTGCTGTATTTGCCTTTGGGGTCTTAGTCATAAATTTGTTGCCTGGGCCAATGTCTAAAAGAGTTTTTCTTATATTTTCTACTAGAATTTTCAAGGTTTCATGCCTTACATTTAAGTCTTTAATCCATCTTGAATTAATTTTGGTATATGGTGAGAGATAGGGATCCTGTTTCATTCTTTTTCATGTGTCTGTCCAATTTTTCCAACAGAATTTATTGAATAGAACTTCCTTTCCCCAGTGTATGTTGTTGTCTGCTTTTTTGAAGATCAGTTGGTTATAGGTAGATGATTTTATTTCTGGGTTCTCTATTCTGTTCCATTGGTTTATGTCTCTATACCAATGCCATGCTCTTTTGGTTCCTATAGCCTTTTAGTATAATTTGAAATCAGGTAATGTGATGATTCAAGATTTGTTCTTTTTAGTTAAGATTATTTTGATTATTTGGGCTTTTTTATTCCAAATGAAGCTTAAGAGTTAATTTTTTCTAGATATGTGAAATATGATGCTGGCATTTTAATGGGTAGTGCATTGAATCTGTAAGTCACTTTGAGCAGTAAGGATGTTGATCTACCAATCCATGAGCATCTGATGTTTTCCCATTTGTTTGTGTCATCTGTGATTTCTTTCATCAGTGTTTTCAGTTGTCTTTGTAAAGGTTTTTAACCTCCTTTGTTAAGTATATTCCTAGGTATTTTATTTTCTTTATAGCTATCGTGAGAGGTATTGAGTCCTTGATTGGACTCTCCACTTGACTGTTATTAGTACATAGAAATGCTACTGATTTGCATAC